CCCGCCGGGGATAAAATCTAGGTCTCCATCCCTGCTCTCGGCGAGGTTCGGATTTTCCCGCCCCCGCTTCTATTTTTTTTTCTTTTTTTCTTTTAAATAAATATGAACAATTTAAAAAAAAAAAAGTAAAATAATATAAATTTTTACATATAAATATTTATAATTTTGGTTTATATATATACAAATAATTTTTAATTTATATTATTAAGCGGGGCGGGGGCGAGGTAGGTATTAACATCCCCGTCCCGATTTTATCAATTGGGAAAAATCGAACCCGAACCCGAACCCGATAAACATGGATTTTCCCCATCTAAATCGAGACGGGTTCGGGCAGGTACCAATGGGGGCGGGTTAGATTGCCATGCCTACTCCTATAACGTTTAAAGTTTAAATGATGCATTAAACCTTTTAATTAAAAATGATATATTTTATTACATTAAGAAAAATAATGCTAACAAATCTTAAGACAGTAAACTACATTTTTCATTTAATTTACTTTTACATTATCGTTTATTATAAAATATTATATAAATAATTTTTGAAGACCAAAAATAGTACATTTCCACATTAGAATAATCAAAATAAGTAAATTTTTTCAGATATTAAAACCAAAATTTGAAAAACTTTAGAGGAACAAAAATATATTTTATTCTTTTATAAATGCATAGCTTGGAAAAAAAACCCTCTAACCATGAAGATAATAAAACTTTATAATCATATCATATTTTTTTATATTTAAATATAAAAATAATAATCTTAAATTATTTTAAATATATTATAAAATTATAATATATATATATATATATAAATTTGTGGCCTCTCTTATACACGAGTCTTAAACAGTTACGCCTTCAAACAATCTTTGAATTAGTCTTATTTACATCGATTTCATGTATGTTTTTTCTTTTCATATTTCAACACTACAGTCATATTGTTTAAATTAATATATATATATATATATATATAAAATAATGTTTTAAAAATTAAAAATGAGTTTTTTAAAAGTAGATAGGATTCTTTGTTAAAAAAATAGATAAGTATTTGATTGTAAAAATAAAAAACTTTGACAAATACATTAAAAACAAAAAGTATGAATTATTTATTTCATTAAAAAAAACTTTTTATATAAAATAAAACAAAACAAACGAATGCATGATCAACCGCTAGTGCCAAAATAGGTTATGCAAGATAAAAATTTAGATGAATTTAGCAAGATCAGTTATTCAGTGGACTCAACAACACTCAAATAACTCAATCATATTACCCTCCAAATATCTGGTTTTGGCCGATGACAAGTATACTGAATAACTCAACTACTAGTACTAAAATGGCAACTATAGCTATTATTCTCCATCAGTACAATGAATGCACTCAGCAAGTTCACTCATAGTATCTAAAGTAATACTAAAGCATATTTTCCAAATCCAACCAAAATTATGCTTGTCAACTATATTGCGGGTTTTCATTAGTTAGTCGTTAGTGTTGGTTTTATTCTAGATCATAATCATAGGTCCAATAGGATAGTGATCAATTTCATTACGGGTATAATTTGTCACATATTCAAGACTTTAGGTTAGTGGAAATATTTTTTAAAATAAAAATTAATAATAATT